AGCTGCGCTCGCGGCAATATATATAAGTGATATAACAGATATTCCAAATTCTCCACATATGGTGATGTACGCTGACGATACCAATGTTTTCTTCTGCAGCACTACAAAAGTGTCCTTAGAACAACAAGTAAATGATTATCTTCGAAAACTTTCAGAGTGGCTGGAAACAAACACGCTTAAACTAAATGTGGACAAAAGAAAGTACATTATATTTGGACCTATCAATAAGCACGACAATAGTGTAATACATCTGCAACATAATAGCACCCCCATATTTCAGGTTATAGAACAAAAGTTTATTGGCGTCTGGTTTAATGAAACACTTACTTGGACCACCCACGCGAACAAATTAAAAGGGGCCCTTTCGAGAACAATAGGCTGTATGTATAAAATAGTAAATTTATTACCAAAGTGGCTTATCGAAAAATTATATTACTCTTTGTTTTACTCAAAACTTTGTTATGGAATTATGGCATGGGAGACAACCACTTCCACTAATTATAGCAAATTAATTACTCTCCAAAAAAGTTTTGCGTATTTGAGAAAACTATCAAGAAAATATTCGTAATTTTTATAACAGTTTATATTTTACGAAACATAATATGCCTAAAGCGAACCAGATTGATTACTTTGAACGTATGCGGACAATATACAAAGAAAACCTTTATCAAATGGATGAATTGCCATCGCAAGATGCCCAAGGTCGGGACCCCCCCCCCCCCCCCCCCCCCCAAATTATGGAAAACAAAAACTAATCCGGTGCCTACATTACTAAACATTTTTGAAGGGCGAACTAATTTTACACTATCATTTTATAAATATAAAAGTAACATCAGACACACGCTTGAACCCAACGAGATATATTACGTGTAGTAGAAATTGAAAGTGACACTTTCGTTATGCGCCTGTCAGTGTTATAATGGCAAATGCGTTTGTTACATGGGTGTTACCTTTTGTGTACATACCCAGACAACACCCGACATCCTCAGGACGTCCTCGAAAGGTACAAACGTCCTCACGGTTTTCAAGACGTCCTCAGGACATCCTGAAAATGTCAGTCGCTAGATCATACTGGAAACATCCTTCCAAGGACTTGTTGAGGACGAGGGATACAAAGTTAGAGGTAATATACGTCCTCAATTTGATTGCGTTTAAAAAATAAATAAATGAAGTGGAGGTAGTATACACAGTTCACGTTCACTGCTCAACTAAATTTCACATACAAATTATTACAAGTGGTTGCGTAAGTTTAGGACATCTTTTAACTATAGTTTTGATCAAACAATTCTTTAATAAAAAGAGGACGCACTACAACTATTATTAGTTTTGTATTTGCGCAGTATTTCGGAATTCAGTTCCTTTGGCAACATTCAATCTAGATGGCGCAAGCTTCCGCCTACTACAAGGTGTACCGTTATGGCAATTATCCACCCATCCGAGAGACTCAAGCAAGCTAAGCCAAGCCAGGACAGAAATAGCCTCGAGGTTGATGATGGCTTGATAATGTGGATGCTTGGGCTAGTTGGTAATTCCTTCTTGGATGGAACAGCGAGGATACAGTCACACTCACAAGCACACAAGAAGGAAACAGACTCGCAGCGCCGATTAACAACTCAGTGATATATTTCTACTTCCTCATATCGTAATCTTCTTCTCCTTCGCCGTCAATGAGAACATTTTAAATTTTTAAACACCAGAAACCAAATAGCCAATAAACATTAATAAATGAATAATAAATAAATAACATCCAAAAAGAAATAAAACTTAAAAGAAATAATTTTTTTTAAGTTTAATTTTTTAATTATAATTTATTTTCATAAAAAAATAATTTTTAACTTTTTTAATTTTCTTAGTTTCATTTATTTGTAGCTGTCATTAATTTATTTATTATTCACTTATTAATGTTTATTGGCTATTTGGTTTCTTGTGTTTAATAATTTAAAATGTTCACATTAACGGCGACGGAGAAGATGATGACGATTTGAGAAAGAAGAAATATATCGCCGCGTTGTTAGTCAGCGCTGCGAGTCTGTATATCCGCGCTGTTCCATCCAAATTGATGATGATAGCAATGCAAGGCATTGACAAAGGTTAGTGTGTTTTTAAATGTAGTACTTGTTCGAAATGACGGAAAGCAATGAACGGCAATTGCGGCGGGAAAGATGCCGGCGCGTAAACAAATGCTTCGAGCTTTTCAACTGTGCGAAAGTAAACTCGGTAGCAAGGGTATCTTCCTCGCACGAACATTAATTGTGCTTTTTTTCTAGGCCATCTTAGTTTTCTGCTGTGACTGTCATCACAAACCAATGTTTTAGGAGCAGTGAAAGCAAATGTTGAGTGAGCAAACAAAGCTGACGTGGAGACCATCATCAAAGTATGGCTGCGCCACGCTGGAGAAAAACTGAAAAATCTGCAGTCAAAGGCCGGACATGTTCGACATGATGGTAAGTTTCTCACATTACCTGTTTTTATTATTAATGCCTATGGAATTGATTTCCTTGTTGTAGATCCCGCTGACTATTTGGACTAGTGCTGGCCAAGATGCGAAGCCAGACTGCACGTCTGGTGGAGACATTGAAAAAAGTCATGTATAACATTTGCTCTGCAATAAAGTATTTCTTGAAGAGTTACCTTTGTTTGCAATGATGAATGGCACGAACATGCTCATAGTTACAGGCTAAGAACATAGCGCAAAGAAATACGCAGAGGAGAAAGCCGACACTATAAATCTAGAATTAGTGTGTGAATTTCACTTTAAAATAGTGCACAAAAATGAATTTTTTTTTTTTTCTGCAGGCGGCTTTTGCAGGCATCTTCAGGTTCAAAATTCAGTTGGAGATAACCTAGAAACAATAAAGATGAAAGCATCCTAACAGCTCAGTGAACAGCTGCAGCTGCAGAGCATTGTCCAAAAGATGTACTAGAAAAATCCTTGGCTGCCCTCTTGAGGACGTTCTGAGGATGTCCTGAGGCCGGACAATAGGTCGTTTTTAGGATGTTTCCAGGATCATTTGAGGACATCCACAGGACATCATAATGTCCTCAAAAGGCTGTCCTGAGGACATCCTGGGGATGTCCAAGTGTTGTCTGGGTACCTTTTGTGAATTTTGCTTATTTTGTCATTTTGTAAGTATACATCAGTGATTACGAATCACTGACGTATGCATGATATACTTTGAGTGGCATTATCCAGCTAGGTTTATGATTTTTATCTAGCTAAATTTATAATTTTAATATTATATATTCATCTGAGAACAGATCAATCCCACGTTTAGATTGGTAAAATATTTTCTACGATATTGTGTCAAACGTATGCATGTTTGCTGCTACGTAGATATATGTATGTTGTTTACTTTCTTTACGTATATGGCAACTAATGCAAGTTGTGCTGTTATGCACTGCGTGGGGAGTAGAGGCCCAGTCAGGCGAAAATGCCTTTTGTCTCTATCTCCTCACGGCCCGTGAGAAACTAAATAAACTTCAAACCTCAAGCTTCAATATTGACGGTGAAGTTTTAAAAACGCGATGACTCCAAGCTTCCATCCTACACAATCAAACTTGCAGCCGTCGATTCGAACACGCAGCATCGAAATAGTCGTTCAAAACTGATAATCCTGACGCTGACGTCAAGGGTAGGAACTATTAGCGGCGAGATGCTTCGGTGGCGCCTTCGTTTGGTTACCTTTCGTGACGTCATTACCTTGTGTTCAACTAGTTCGATGGTGTTTGTATTGGGCAAGGTAGAAGCCTGAAATCATAGCGCTCTCAAAGCAACGCTGCCAACACCGTCAAAATTGAAGTTCTTACATTCCTCTTATGTCCGTTGATGAGACATCCTTTGCTGACGTCATAGTCAGCATTCGGCCAATTGTGGTGGGCCGACCACAGCGACGCTTTCGATCGCTCACGTCGCCAATAAAGCACGCCACTGAACGCGCCTGCACACTACGAGCCTCTTGCTTGAAAGTCTGTTATGCATGGCCGCTCGTGAGTTCACCTCTAGATACAGTGAACTAGAATATGGACCTTTCCAAAAAAGAGCGTGTGGCCAGTGCCATTTTGAGTGTTCGTACGTATGGCGCGTGTTTTGCTCGCTTTCCGAAGCGACGAACACGCACGTGCTGGACTGTGAAAATGGCACGCTGGACTGTGATTTTGTAAACATTGGAAAGGTCTATACTCTAGAAAATAACTTCGAAAATTGCTCGCTCTGCTCTTTCTCGTCGTCGCTCAGTTGAAAGGCTTCTAAGCAGAAGCGTCGAGACAGGCGGACGGGGAAGAAGTCTATAGGAGCTGGAAGGCGAAGTGGAAGAGGGGGCAATGGGACATCGCACCGGCGGGCGGTCGTTTATCACTACTGCGTACCGCACTGGCTAAATTGCTCATCCCCTTCAGCTAATAGACAATTCGCCAGTTGAGGCTGACTAATACTCCATGCAGACGACCAGAAAGGTCCCTTTAGTTACTTTAGTCAAGGAACCTTTATGGCCAGTGGTTCGCGGTCCTCCACGCGTGGCATGTGCTCGCGACCTAAGAGCGCGGGCTGATTAAGCGATTGCAAAGGGACCTGCGTTAAAGGTACCTTTATGCTGCCGGTGCGAATGGGGTATAACTTCAAGCTGTATAACCATACACACAAACACATTTTTTTTTTTTAGTTTAGTGACCCTGGTTGGCTTTGGGTGGTGGCACTAAATAAGCTACGCTTCATTCAGTGGCTCTAGCTATGGGGACAGCATTCTCGTGGACATCGTGACTTGAACGATATCCACGTAGGTCACGGGGGTTCTCATCACGCGCGCTGCTGCTCCGAACGCTCAGTCCGCATCTGTAGCTGTGACTTCGTCCCTCCGCTCGACTCCTGCACTCCGTCGTCAAAGTGGAATACCCTAACGAGACACGACCGGCTCGACCTCCCAAGTCCCCCAGACATCGACTAATGCGTCGGTGGAACGAGCAGAGAGGAACAGCGGCCAAGAGGGACGCGATTCGACGTCGCGATGCCCCCCAAACAGTCCAGGAAACAGCGGGAGCCACAGCAGCGAGACTGGCCTGTGTCCCACGCCCCCGTAGCCCAGCCTTCGCCCAGCAGCTCCTCGGAGACGATGCTGGACGTGAACCCGTACGTACGCTACCCACTGCTGCTAGTCAACATGGCGCTCTGTTTCCTGGGGTCTGGCGCCGCTGTGCTCGGAGCCCTTACCATCGTCGAGAGCTGGAACTCGAACGGCGACCTGGTCATCCTCAAGAAGCACAGACTCCAGGGGCTGACGTGGCCGGTGCTCGAGGTCGCCATCACCGTGGTCGGGACCGTCCTGGCCCTAGCCTCCTGCTGCGGCTGCGTCGGGGCGCTGCGGGAGAACAGCTTCCTGCTCAAGCTGTACTCGTGGTTCCTGGAACTGCTCGTGGCCGGCTGCATTCTGGTCGGCATGTTCGTCATGCTCATGCCCGGTACAGACTAATATCTTATGGTTTCGAAATGAATTCAGTAAATGCTCGGCTTCCGCACGAGTGAGCCACCTCCAAAGAGCAAAAAGTGGTAGACAAAATTATGTCAATGAAATCTCACTATTCACGTTTGCAAGCAGCCATGCTTTAGATTTAAGCCTAGTCTGGGAGCCTTGTGGGGAAAGGACTTTGTTTGGGGACCCGTCTTGTAACTCTGGGTTCGCCTTACTAAGGATTGACGCTTGACTGCCAGACGGCCTACACCTGCCGGGAACAAGATAGCGGCGCACAGAGCCTGTACTTGTAAACATGTATAGAGCAGTTGCGTAGCATCGCCGCCGTTTTTTTGTTGGAGGTGCAATTTCTCACTTGTGGTCCCACGGGTGAGTAATGTCTGCAGCTTGTCGAAAAACTATCGGTACTTTTTTTTTTCTTTCTCTCCGGTGCGTGTCCGGGAACTGGAACCCCTCGAGGTAAATATCAGTGTAACATTACCTACGTGGAGCCCTGCAGTGTGCATGTTTTATTGGCATATTTGCTTTCTTTAAAGGCGTGCGAATATATAAAAAAAGACTACGAATCGAATACAAATAATGCCAAAAACTGACCTCGAGTATTGAAACGAACATCGGATATGCACACAATTAAAGAAGCACCTAAAAGTGTAGACAGAACATTAGGCGCAGCTTTTACATCTTTGGAAATGATACGTACGGCAACCGCGGTCTATGGCCACCCCCAAAATTACATAACCAGAACGATTTGCAGAACCAAAAATTAATAGTTCATAGCAAAGGGAAACAAAAAGATGTAGTTCAGCTTTTAAAGAAAAGGGTTATAAATGTCACTGACAAAATAACTATTACCATTAGAATGAAGTAAAGGCCCATAAATCAAAACAAATATATTTTGTTCGTTCGCTGACGGTTGATTGACCTCCCCAATTTCTATTTAGTTATTCAAAAAAGCTCCAGGTACACCTAAGCACTTCTTATGAGTTGTGAGTGCGAAAGCATGCAAACCGCTCGTCCGCTCCCTTTGTCGTCTGCTCGTCCGCTCCCTTTGTCGTCTGCTGCGTACTAGGCCGCGCGCGCTTCGAGACCTTGGAGGCCATGGCGCAGCGGCCAATGGGAGCCCCGTCGACGCGCGCCAGCCAATGGAACCGAAGGCGAATCGCTCCTATTGGGATCGCGGAAACCTGGAACCGTTTTCGCGCTTCAAACTGATGACGTCAGCTCGCTCTATGGGAACGTTAATGCTTTCGCATTAAAAACCTTAAAGGCCCTCTGTATGGGGGTATTACATTGGGGGCGGGGGGGGGGGGGGGGGCAAGCAAATACATTATAGTGCACAGAAAAAAACACAAAAGGTATACAAAGACAATATGAGAAATAGGAATAAATAATATGTTGCGCCTAAAACAAGATGGGCGGTTTCATTTGGATTCAGGCAACGAGTAACAGTCGTAATTTTATTTTAATTCAAACTTTCATATTTGGTGGAGCATGTTCCAAGAAGAAAAACCCTTTTTATTTTAATGTCCTGACATGTTTAGTTTCTGAGAAAGAAAATCTCAAAGAAGCGGGAAAGAACGACGAGGTTTTGACGATTGCCGTGAGTGGCGTTTTTGAATCACTCCTTATCTCAAAGTATTCAAAAGAGAACGTCTATATTGTTTTTTAGTGTGATATAGATAAAAGTAGGTAAAAGGAAATTAAAACTACTATTTATTATTCGTCGCTCCAATTTTCGTAAAAATCCCCAAATATGCCTCCGCGAACAACTGTGACCTAAATTGCGGATTTTTTTTTTTACTCGACTATGTTTAGTATTGTTTTCAAAATAATACTACGTGTACAAACTTTTATTGCCTTCCAAATTAAGCAAAGTTTGTGTTTTTATCATGTACGAGTACTGAGAAATCAATTATGAAACAGAGAAAGTTGTCACTTTTCGTTCAATTTCAGCCTTTATGTATATAAAGATTTTTAATTTTTTTTTTCTCGCGTCGCGTTCTCTCCGCACCCTTCTTTTGCCCAGAATACATTCCGTTAGAGGTATTTGCACTGGTTTTGAGTTGTAAGCCTCTAAATATTCTAAAAAAAGAGCAAGTTCCGATGGTGGGTTTCGACGATTGTCGTGTGTGGCGTTTTTGAACCACTCTCAATCTCAAAGTATACAAAAGAGAGCTTCTCGGTAAAACGACATTTTAACTACTATTTATTATTTGTCGATCCAATCTTTGCAAAAATCTCCAATGTGCTGGCGTGACCACGTGCTGGCGGGCGCCGCGAGAACAATATGGTGAAAGGATGGAAGTCTCATCCGGGTCCGGTCATACCTTGCCATACCCGTCTGGCCCTGTCCCCCTTCTTTTTCGGCTTCTGGCGGCTGTTCGCGGTAGCAGAGAGAGCTGACGGTTTTGTGGACCTAGGATAGATGGCGCCACTAAAACTCCGTATAATAAAAGTTTTGTCGATCATATCAGGTTTTTGATGCATTTATATGTTTGTTGGAACGACAAGATTTATAGAAAAGTTCCCTTTTATTGAGCAGGTATTCGCACAACTTGCTATCTTTCTACAACAACCCCATTGACGTCATACTGCGTGGTTCTCGTGGCCGCCGCTCGCGGCTGCAGGTCGGAGAATATTCGAATTTTTGCCTCGCGATTACGCGACGGAATCGCAATGTTTCGAAGAAAGGAGGTGTGTTTTCTGTTCTTTGTGACAAGATAAACGATTCGTAGTCGGTGCATGCACAGTCCTGGTCCGGGTGTTTAAAGGTATTCTGAGAAGGTTTCTGAGATCGCCTAAATGATAACTCACTCTGCTAACTCTAAGCATCCTAGAAATGCCTAAATCATGACGATACGGGTTAATAATTCCTACAGAGTGCGTCATACTCCTTGTTACTGGGCGAATAAAGATCACGGTCTTTTCCAAACCCCTTCCCCCCTCCCTCCCCGCCGCCAACTGGACTTCAAACCGTGTCCAAACTCCCCACTCCCCCCCCCCCCCCCCCCCCCCTTTCCGTTTAGTTATGAGCTGCCTGGGAAATGCCGAAGGAGAGCTTTCCAGTTCATTTGATACTATCACATACCTAGAACACAAATTATGTTTAATCGCACTGACGTCTAACAACGAAATGGCGGATTGATATGTTTGTGAAAACAACAAACACCCTTGACGGACAGAACCGCATGCTGTTATTTCCACGGAGATCGCCCAGATACCCACCATTGAGGCAGGCCCTTTTTTTCTTTAGTAAATAAAAAGCTAGTTTTATTTTTAAAAATACTAACAATAACAACAACGTATGCAATCATAGAACCAATATCATAGAATACCAAAAGAAAATATAACACATTTTATGCATATTTCTCAGTTAAAATTGCAGAGGTTCATTTGATGTATGGCGACGGTAGTCTACCTTGCTTTCCCTCTGAATGGCACATAAAGGTCATTATTTTTTTTCACCTGTCTTTAATAACTGTCCAAATAGCGATATTTTAATTAAATCGATGGAGCGCACTAGGCAGACAATATCTTGCGTGTTTAACGTGTATAATACATGTATAAGGTATACGGATATGGTCTTGAATCACTTAATGGCCGACCCAGACCATCGTCTTCTGCCAGGAAGAAAGCCGGTTTCCATTTTTGTTCTCTCCATTCCCTCTAGTAGTCTTCACCTCTCCCCACAGCAGTGGGTCTCTGAGCCAGACATGTACAAGTTAGTAAAAAATAATTAAGTTATGTTACTGAATATTGGTCTCAAAGGTAATTCGAGTAGAGTAGAAACTACTCAAATGGAAAGTAATTGATTAATTTACGAACTACCGTAAGAAGTAGCAAATCACTTTTAAAGTAAGTTTATATTTTTTATGGTAACAAAAAAGTACGTAGGTTTTGATACGTTAGCGAAACTCTGCTAGCCAAATATAACGCAGCTTGTGTTTTTACAAAAATGTTTTAATAGCTGGTTCTGCTTCTGTGTACCTAATTGTTTTGTACTTTTTTTTTGTTTTTTGGTAAAGGATTTACTGCGGATATATCATTTCTACAATGGGGTTTAGCACTGCCTGAGCTTGATTTTGCAGACAGTGTTTGATTGCTTACAGTGTTTCGTAAAGTGGATCTAAAAAGTACTTGAAGTAAAATACAAAGTAAACTAGAGGTTATGTATTTCAAATAAAGTAGTAAGTACACCGGGTGCAATGTACGTGAAGAAGTAATGTATATAGATACAATGTACTTTCGAAGTAAAGTACAAGTACTTTTTGCCACAATCTTTTATGATGCCCTTTCATCCTCTATACACTGTTTTTTTTTTGTTTTTTGTTTTTTCGCTGGTATGCATTGTTTTAGGTGTAATAGGAGGTGCATCAATTTCTTTTGGAAATTGCGGCAAATATTCGATAAAGGCAAGTCGCCACAAACTAGTTGTTTTACTTTCGCTGACGAACTATTAACGCACTAAACTCACAAGGTACTTATTTGTATGGGTCTTATAATCGCTACTTCACTCAGATAAATGACCAGATGAGGTCTCAAAAGACGATAGCGCGTTTTCACATGACGCTACACCATTTTTCATTTCTAAATTTGGGGAATGTGTTTTGAGTTTTACTCTTCTCGGAAAGTACCAGAAAAAACACTTAGTAAAGTACAAGTACATGCTCAGAGAATAAACTTCAAGTAAAATACAAGTTTTCTAAATCTACTTAAAATAAGTACCATGTACAATACTTAAGGCCTAACACTGGTTGCTTATTATTTGTTTATGTAAAAACGTTGGGGGAATTACTAAGGTTTCTCGAACGTTATTTGAATCTGTGAAGACCTGCATAATCTGAGTTTTGGGGAGAAAAGGCAACGCAAAGATGTCACCTTTGCTTTGCCCTTTAGCACGGGATTCTTCAAGTACAGCACAAACTACAGGAGCACCGGATGAGCTTCAGAGCGGGTGCTGCACTTGGTTGTTTCCTTTCTGTGAGGATGCAATGTGTGGACCTCCTTTAGTGGGCGAGAGTTACTACCTTGGGAAGAAGAGGTGACAAGCCCTTTCTTCAAATGCGTCAAATCTCCTTGAACTTTTGGACACACACACAAAAAAAAAAAGAAGAAAGAAAGCCATTCTTCGGCGCTGGGCCCGTAATTACTCGGCCTCACTTGCGACGTGCCTGTTGCGCAGGAGTGTTTGTTGGTAAGCGAACCCACCACTAAAATACGAAAGTAATTTGTAATTTGAGTAGAAGTTACTGGGAAAGAGTAATTAAGGTAAACTTCTAATTACCGAAATAAAAATGTAATTTTAAGTTAATACACTATTCAGGAAAGTAGTTAAACAACAGTAACTTAAGTAGAGTAGTTGAACTACATTCAAATCAGGCAGTCTGAGCTACTTCTCACAGAAAGGAGGAGGGTCTCCCTCTTCCTTTTAATGGAAAGGAGAAATTAACGAAAAATTTCCCCCTTTCTGGCTGCTCATCCGTCTTTAAGATAGTGAAGTCAGCTAATAAAAATGCTTTTCTGATTTTTTTTTTTTTGGAAGGGGGGGGGGGGTTCTTTCGTACGGCATTGTGGATAAAGGTCGTATAAGTGCATGTTTTTTGTTGTTGTTTTTTAGTAGGGAAGGCGAGGAAGTACGTGCAGGCGAGCTGGTGAGGAACGGCAATATTGGAACTGAAGCGGAGGAACGGATGACGAAATGGTGCTCTAAACTCCTAACGCAGGTCAGCTGCTGAATATCGTCCGGAGCACTCTCTCGGAGTCCTTGGTCGTTCACTACAGGGACAGCGCAGACACGAGCGCGTTCGTGGACGCTGTGCAGCGACATCTGCAGTGCTGCGGCATGAGCCACCAGAACTATCGCGACTGGAACAAGAACTTGTAAGCTATCAGTCTCAAGTCCCGTTCCTACACTTCGTTTGCTTGCGACCGCGTCCACGGGATCTCTTACGACGAGTGCACGCACTGGCACGCTGGCGCCATCTATGAAATGGCCCCAGAACTGCACTTCGCTAGAGCGAAGGTTTTGCGGTATGTGTGGGATCAAATGTGCGTATTGTTTATGAGAAATGGTCGCTTATAACATTACCATAGCAAAGGATTGATGCGCGAAAGAAAAAAAAAGGAATATACGGAAATATACTGAGTTAATTGTATGTATGCTTTCTTTGTGAAGAAACTTATTATTATTATTATTTTATACTCTCAGCGTGTCCTAAAAAAACGCATAAAACAATTGTGCTAGTAGCAGCCTATTGAATTATACACGACTGGAATCTCTCTAGGACCGACAGGAGGCTAGTTATTGTTACCATGTAAGTGACTGTTCGACCATCAGCCTATATGTTCCCATGATGTTTAAGTGTATATATGTATTTAAATGTATATTTACGTGTAGATCTAGGCATGCACGTCTATATGCGTCGTGGTGCACTCGATGTTGTATATAAGCCCAAGTGCTCAATTAGTTGTGTGTGTAACCCGTGAAACAACTTTCACTTGTGTGTAGGTGCCTTGTATTCGGTCCGGAGAACAATTTATTTATTTATTTCTGCACATACCTACATCGCCCAGGGGGCATTATTGTAGGGGGGTTACACGAAAGAAAATACATGACAAACAAGTGAAATAACAAGAAAGCATAAAATAACATAGAAGTTTCAGATACCTATTAGAAACAAAAGTTTTGTAAAACTGAGAAGAAAAGTGTTTTCAGGAGAATTGACAATTGAGCTCTCCAGACGATTCCACTCGGAATAGTATGGGGAAAAAAAGAGTGGGCAAAAACATCCGTTCGGCAGTTAATTTTTCGAACTTTCATCTGGTGATCCGTTCTTCTTGATACGTAATTTGGTGCCTGCATATACATACTTTTGTCGACTCCGGTTTGGTCATTATAAATAGCGTAAAATAGCCTTAACCGTAAAAGTTTTTCGTTGGCAAAGGAGACTCCAATTAAGTAAGCTTTTTAAGTTAGTGATGCTCGAACGAAAATCATAGTTACCGGTTACAAAACGAGCTGCACGGTTCTGGATCCGTTCCACTTTATAAATTAAATTTTGAAAATGAGGGTCCCATATATTGCACATGCGTATTCCAAATTGGTCGCACATTTGTTGTATAGAGCGCCTCTTTGAGGGACACTGGCGCAGTTTTGAAATTGCGTTTAATAAAGTTTAGAACACCGCTTGCTTTATTAGTCACGTAGTCTATGTGCTTATTCCAGGTCAGATCAGATAAAAAGTAGATACCTAAGTACTTGAAATTGTTAACGCGATCAAGGAAGTGATGACCCAAATGATAGTTCGATAAATGAGGCTTACGCTTTCTGGTAAAACTAATAAAGGAACACTTTTTTTTTAAACTGATTTTCCACTTGTCACACCATGCTAAGACAAGATCGAAGTCATACTGGAGGGCCGCAACATCTGATGCATTTTAAACACTATGATAAATGACACAGTCGTCTGCATAAAGCTTTATACTAGACGTTATTCTGTTTGTGATATCGTTAATATAGACGAGAAAGAGCAATGCCCCAAGACCGAATCTTGTGGGACCCCTGAGGTTACGTTGACGTAAGATGACATTACACCGTTAATAATGACACACTGTTTTCTGTCTGATGAGTAATTCTCTAGCCACTCAGGAACATACGTAGGTAACCCCAGAAACGACAATTTATGTAAAAGAAGAGTATGAGAAACGGCATCGAAAGCTTTCTGAAAATCCAAAAATACAGAATCAACCTGTAAACCTTTATCGTAAGAAGCCAAAATGTCGTGGGTGAACTCACTGAACTGGGTGACACAAGAAAGGCCAGACCTAAAACCATGTTTGTGAGGCGTGCAAAATTTGTTAGCTTCAAGATGCTTCATAATGTTAGAATAAATAATATGTTCCAAGGTTTTACAGCGTACACTGCTCAGTGAAATAGGCCTATAGTTCATGACACTGTCTTTAGCACCGGATTTGTGTACTGGAACAACATTGGCAGTCTTCCATTCACAAGCGGGTTCACGGGCTTCTAAGGACTTATTCAACAGTATAACCAAAAAGAAGGTGAATGCACGGGCACAGTTCTTCAGAACATGGTTAGAAATACCGTCTGGTCTGGGCGCAGCCCCCGAATTAAGACCCTGAAGTACAGAAAAAACACCGTTTTCTGAGCTAACAATGTCGGGCATAACCTCAGAGATAGACTCCGCCGCGGCTGGCATAGCCCCGTTAAATGGTTGTGAAAAGACCGAATGAAAATACGCGTTGAAACATGTCGCCTTTTCGAGATCGTCAAACACAGTGCCCTGTCCGTCAGAGATGGCGGGAATACCAACTTCGTCTTTTCTATTAGATTTTACATACTTCCACACTTCTTTTGGATTACTCAACAATTTTTCTTTAAGGGAAATAAAAAAAATTGATTTTGCTTCTTTCATTTGTATCTTTAAACTAGAGCCTATCCTCCCGAGCCGATCGCGTACGTCACCATGCTGTGTTTTCCGGTAACGTTGATACAGCCGACGTTTCTTACAGATAAGTGAGCGCAGCTCTTTATTTACCCAAGGTTTATCAACTCTACGTTTTCCGGTGATAATTTTGGACGGTACATGACGATCAACGAATTCAGCAAGCTCGCTCTTGAAAAGATTCCACAGACTGTTAATATTCATATGTAAGGAGCATTCTTCAAACTCTGGGAGGATAGAAGATAGGTTATTCGAAAGGCCTTCAAAATTTCCTCTATCATAAAAGAATACTTTCCTCGAGGGCGGTTTCTTAATGCCAAGTGGTTCACAGCGGATGCTACCAACGACTACCTCGTGATCACTAATCCCCGTAATTGCTGCAACAGAACGTACAAGCGTAGGGTGGTAGCTAAACACAAGTCGGCGACGGAGTTATCTGCAGACAATAACAACCTGACTCTGCAGATTCCACGGCCGAGGAAAGTACGCCTACAAGGACAAGCCTCCCTCGGACAAGCCATCGTCTGCTGCAGAACGAGGAGGGAAGCAACTGGTCACAGCAAGTGACAGCGACAGCACCCACGCCAACGACAGAGGCGGCACCAAGGACCCGTCTACAAAAGAGGCAGACACGGCATCGGCAGCGGCGATTGCGGCGACGGCGGCGGGGAGTTCGAGTTCAGCGCTCGTGGCTACCGGTTCGCACGGTTTTCTCGGGACGTGAAATTCTTTCTTTCTAGTCCAGTGGGCGGGGGTGTTTTTTCGGAAAGTGGATAGGAAGTTCGTAGGCGTTGGCCACGGTGGGCGTCACCACCCCGTACGGGGGACAGCACCCTGTACAGCGGGTTCCGGCCTCCCAAACGATGTCCCACGCCAGCCAACTTCCGGACGGAGGAGCGACCCCCACGCCAGCAAAGCGACACCTGAGTGAGAGCAGCTCCGGCGAGTTCGCACACACAACATCAATGTTACAAGACGACGAAGGGGCCATGGACGGCAGCGTTCTCGGTAGCAAGGAGGACGGCGACTTCACAACAGTCAACAGAAAGAAAAAGAGGACTCGACACGAAGGATCTCAACGGAGCCAAGGTATCGTGAAACTTCCTAATACGGCACGCACCGTTCTGTTCGCGCCAACCGTTCCCGCCACGAATCTGAGGAAAATCAACCGCCAGCTGCTATCGGACGAACTGGAAGCACTGGCTCCCGGTCAGTTTAGCGAGGTACGAGTAAACACACGGAAAAACATAATAGCCACGGATGCGAGGACGGAGGCGGGGGTGCTAGAGCTCCTCATTCTGACCAAAATATGCGGGGTGCCTGTACGAGCTTTTCTCCCTCGCTCGAAGAACTCAAGAGTAGGGGTAATTTCGGACGTTGACACCGATATCACCGAAGACAGGCTGAGTAAGATAATCGACAGCGGAGTGAGCGTCGTGCAAGTTAGGCGGCTAGGCAAAACGCAAGCAGTCAAGGTTGTGTTTGAGGGTGACACGCTTCCTGCCCACGTCAAGATTGGATTAGTAAGGCACAGCGTTAGGCCTTTCGTCCAGCGTCCCCTACAGTGCCGACAGTGCTTTCGCATCGGACAGGTAGTGGCAACCTGTCCTAACAGCGCCATTTGTCCCAAATGCGCACAGGCTCATGGTGAAGAAAACTGCACTTCAGCACAGAAGTGCGTAAATTGTCAGCGAGCGCACGAAGCAACCTCAACGGAGTGCCCAAAGCTCCAAAAGGAGAAGGAGACCTGCAAGGTCAAGGTGCGAGAGAACATCACGTTCCTGGAAGCGGCCAAGGTAGTCGAGGAACAGCGAAAAATCAGAAGGCGCAACAATCAACATGTAGAGAAACCCGGAGCGGGCACCTCGCAGCCTAAAAGTCAGACCGCCGCGCAAGGCGTGGACCCTGGGGCACAAGGCAGTTCTAATCCGGCAGGGGCAGCAAAGGCCGATAACCTACACAACGGTGGCAGGGACAACCACGCTAGGGGTCTCACCTATCGCGATGTCACTCAGGGCTCCCCCCCCCAAATCCGGCGGCGGATAGAAAAAAGCCACGTTACCATCCCGAGACACAGGGGATACTGTCAAAGCAAGGGACGTCAATTCCAGAGTCCGCTGAGCGGTCTACCGCGAGCAAATTTATCAGCTTGGTGTTCAACACAGTGCGCCGGCTCCTCGAGCTGTTGCCGCCATCGGAGTTCCGCACAACACTAAACAGTCTTCTCTTCCTGGAGGGCCTCCTGGGGGCTGTCTTCTAGATGGGCAGCACATAGAAGCAAGCAAGGTACGGGATGGCAGCACAAACCCCCAGAAGAAACGCAATCACTCGAACGGCACCGACCGTCCTACAGTGGAATGCCAGAGGCCTCAACGCCAAGCACAGTGAGGTTAGCCTGCATCTGCAAAGCAACCC